AATATTTAATATTCCCTCCATATGATTTTAATTCAAATAATTTGATTGAAAGGAGAGCAAAAATTTTGGAGGGATATCAAAATTTCAATATTCCCTCCAATACATTTGATTGAATCCCACATGGATTTCTTGAGTCTTTTTGGAAGAATTTTTTTCTTATAAATAGGTGAAGACTTTCACAATAATTTCATCAAGCTCTTAATGAGATTCCTCACAAGAGGAGACCCTTGAAAAAGAGTTTTTATTATATATATATATATATATATATATATATAAAATAAGAAAGAAAGAAAAGAAAGAAAGAAAATAAAAAAACAGGAAAAAAAAAAAGGGGCCGGACCGGTTCGATCAACCCGTGACCGGGTCGACCGGTTCACCGGTTTAACCGGTGGGTTCACCGGTTTTCAAAAAATAAGCCGGTTTTTTCAAATGGCCGGTTTAAGAGGGTCGACCGGACCGGAACCCCATCCGGTCACCGGTTCAACCGGTTGAACCGGCCGGTCCGGGTTTTAAAACCATGTTTTTAAATATTATTTTGGACTATAAAATCACATATTTCTTATCATGAAATCATTATTTTTCAAATGATTTATCCCAAATAAATTACAACCTATTTATCCAATTTACGTGCAGAAGGAAACAAATCATAAACACAGGCTAGGATTAGTCAATTGACTGACATTCACTTTGCAAAAAAATATAAGCTAAACAATGTATGCAAATGCGGGTAAAATCCGCAACCCGCAAAATAGGAAAATCTTAACCTGCATCCAACCCTAACGATTATGCGAAACCCGCCCAAATAGGTGTGGGCGGTTCAGATTGGGCGTTTTTCACGCGTCAGATAACCTTATGTTCAACCCTAGTTATGTGTGTATCCAATCTTTCCCCTCGTAAACATACATTAATGTGTACTAATTGTGTTTTTTTTTTAAATTTTTTTATTATTATAAATATACAACTGTATTATGTATTCATTGTGTATTTTATTAGAATATATAACAAAATATTGCTACATTTTAGGTTGCCATGGGAGATGAAGATGCTATTGAAGGAAGCAAAGAGAGAATTTCTAAGCAACCGAGGGTGAAGAAATCGGTCAATACCAAGCTCTTCACTATAAAGTTATTTGTCTATGATCATGACTTACATTTCTCCGTTAACAGGTTCATAAAACAGATGAAGGTGAAAATGATGACCTGGAAGATAAGAGTTCAAAGAAAACAAAGGTATGTGGATGCATTTGTGTGGTGGCTTAGTATTCTGATGACAACTCTTTAAGTCTTCTAGTTGATAGATTTGTTTTTGTGATATGCAATGTCTAAGTCTAGGATAATCCTACCTAAAATTCATGGAAGTTTATATATTTATTTGCTCTGTGGAGAAAGCCACCTTAGCTGTTGGGGGGTTTGGCTTTGGACCCCTTTTCTTTGTTTTTGTTTTTTTCAAATGTTTTGGATCTTTACCCATTCATTTGGTAATTTTACAAATAAATATTGAAAGGGGATAATGTGGACATTGAAGTGTGATCCTTTGGAAACACCCAAATGGAAAACAAGCTGCAAAAGAACAAAGCGCCAAAGCTCCCAAGCTTCTTGTTCACACAGAAGTCAAAACGAACTAGTAATGAGTTCCAATACAACCATTTTTATTGAATATGAGGAAACTGTTGATCGCATTAACAAGAACCTCATAATATTGACAAAAATTACTCTTAATAGTTATCATATCCTCATGTGTCATGTTGTGAACATCTTCTCCTTGATCTTGAACGTGGTGGTTACAGTGGGTTGTCATTGGTGATGTGGAAAAATTCTGGGCCCTCTAGGAATAATGGTGGAGAGAGAGAGAGAAAGAGGATGGCTCAGTTGGACCATTACTCTCTGGAGTCATACTAAGTAGCTGCAATGGGTATCCGTGATATGCCTTGCGAGGTGACACATGGTTTGGTCAAAGTCAGTCTTCTTGTAGAGGCCTCTTTCTCATGTCTAAGGCTTTTCAAAGTAGATCCACCCAAGAGGGTGGGACAAACAACTTTGATGATCTGGGAGGTTATGTTATGTCATGCCTTAGGACTTGAACTCCTGAATCCTGGTATAATTGGTTAACATGTTGCACTGTTAGTTAACAGGACCGTCTATAAAAAAGCAGCTGACCTAATAATAGTTTAGCTTTTAGTGAAATGTTATTGTTCCTATAACATAGCCTTGTCGTATTTACAGTTATATTCTCAATGTTCTTAGTGTACCTTTTTACTGTGAAGTATAATCATTTAATTAATTTATTTTGCATTAAATTGCACCTAGTTGTCTACACCTACTGAAGTAGCTGAGCCAAACATATCCTTTTCAATTTCTGATACCAAGGATAAGTATAAGGTATGATCTATCCTGGAACATTTTTGTATTTGTAATCTCTATATAGGATCCCATGTATTGGCAGTTTTTTCTTTTCTTTTTTCTATCACAGTAAAATTCTAAAGCGGCAGTACTACATTGGGGCAATTATTTTTTCATAGAAATCTTGACTTGGTCATGTATATTTACATCTTACCAAGATTTTTTCTTCTTTTTATTCAATTATTTTCTGATTCAGGATGCGACATTATTACCAAAGTGGAAGGCATTTCAGACAGTCATATTCCTTGAACGGGTGAGATGGATGGATTATTAACGAATGGTTTTTTAAGCTGCAGGTTGTTACTGGATAAGTCAAGAATAAGGTTTAGAAGTGCTATTTGTTTGCAAAGAACTCTAGTTTTGGTTTGATCGCATAATCATTTGGGCAAAAAAGGTAGTCAAGAAATCCTCTGTGTGATTCTTTCTGTCACGTGTTATGTATTGTACCAAAGGTCACAAACAATGTCATACCTTTATGCTTATGGGAAAGAACTTTGATGAGAATACATTTTCTTTAGTGTTGGCCTTCTTTTTGAACCTCTATTTCAAGTTTTGCGTCCTGATTGATTTTGGTGACTACTCAATTGACACGTTGATGACATTCACATTGGTAATGTTCTGCATTGACAACGGATCTGAAGTTGGTTGCATGTTGTTGATTTGTTTACTTTTCATAGGACGATGGCCTTCGTGATTCAGAAAAAATTGCTGCATTTGATTTTGATGGGTGTCTTGTGAATACGTCTGTGAAAAGGTATGATTATTTATAATGATAAATGAGTTACTCTGAAATTTTATAAATTTAAATTGTGGCAACGCATACTTTAAAAAGTAGGCTTTAGTATTAGATGATACTCTGACATGCCATGTATTGCTTATTCTAGGAAGTATTTCAGGTGATACCTAATTGAACCAAGTAAAGCAGAAAGATTAATTAAAGTATCCGTTGAGAAAATAAACAATTGGTATTTTGGACTGATTCTTATTTGAATTGGATTATCAATAATTTGTTTGAATGAATTAATTTAAAGACTTATATTGACAGTTGTGGAGAATAGGAATGGCAATGGGGGGCAATGGGGTGGATATTAATTCCCCATCCCCATTCCCCTATAATAAATTTTCCCCATTCCCCATTCCCCATTCCCCATGGGTACCACCCTCCCCATTTTTTAATGGGTATGGATTTTCCCCAACCCACTTTAATCCCCATTTTTATTTTTTATATTTAATGTTAACAACCACTTTTTTTTTTATTTTTTTTTATTTTAAGGTTCATAACAAAAACTAAATATACCTTCAATCTTTTTTCTTTCTTTTTAAATATATTTAATGTTAACAATTTTTTTTTTATTTTTTATTTTTTATTTTTTTTTAAGATTCACAACAAAAGTTAAATATACCTTCAATTTTTTTTCTTTCTTTTTTAATATATTTAATGTTAACAATTTTTATTTATTTATTTATTTATTTATTTTTATTTATTTATTTTTTTAAGGTTCACAATAAAAGTTAAATATACCTTCAATCTTTTTTCTTTCTTTTTAATATATTTAATGTTAACAATTTTTTTTATTTTTTTTATTTAAGGTTCACAACAAAAGTTAAATATACTTTCAATCTTTTTTCTTTCCTTTTTAATATATTTAATGTTAACAACTTTCTTGTTTTTCTTTTGTCTTTTTTTTATAAAGGTTTTAACTAAATATACCTTCAATCTTTTTTCCTTTTTTTTAATATATTTAATGTTAACACCTTATTTTTTTATTTATTTTTTTAAGGTTCACAACAAAAGCTAAATATGCATTCAATCTTATTTTATTTTATTTGATTCAACAACAAAATCAAATACACATCAATTAATTAATTAAAAAGCTTGTTTTATAATAATCAAATATATAATTTTGAGACAATCAAAAAGTTTGTTTAAAGAAAGTGTTATAAGACTCATATTAAATTGCATCAGGGCATAAACAAAGAATTGTTAGCCACGGACAATTTAGACATTAAACCATATTTCTCGTAGCAAATTTGAACCATTCATTTTAATTTATCCAAAATCTAATTATACCTTTAACAATTCTGAACCACTCATTTTAAGATATCTATGC